CGAAGGAGAGTCCTGACTTTCGATAATGAGCCGAAGGAGAGTCCTGATTTTCGATAATGAGCCGAAGGAGAGTCCTGACTTTTTATTTCTGGAGGTGCGTCGGTGGAAAACGTCAGAGACGTCTGAACGCGCCACGTTGAACGAGTCGGAGCGGAAAGACGTTTTAATAAAACGATTATTAAGGCACTTGTGGTGTGAGCTGCTTTACAAAGGCAGCACATGTTTGGACCGACAGGATGAGTTCCTGCAGAACCAGAACCACGCCTCAGATCTGGACCTTTCACGGACTCTTCCTCAGTCAGAGCCGAGGAAACGTTTGGAGCCTCGGAGCTTCACGCTGAGTTCGACCCCGCCGAGCGTCTAAACTCTTGTTTTAGAAGCGTTGAGCATCATGAGTCACTTTTTTCCCAGAATGCTCCCTGAGGAGAGCCGGGAGGCGGGGCGCAGCCTGTCGAGGTGGTCCTGCTGGGCCCGATGACGCCAACGGTAATCAAAACAGACGAGGTCATCGATGATCAGCGCCGTGGTGCCTGAGTGGACCCTACGGGACGATCCGCTCCCCGACTGCCTGAACGCCTCGCAGTCGAAGGCTCGACTCGCCCCCGGGGCCCGCCCCCTGCTGCTGCTGTTGCCCCGGCGACCGTTTCCAGGAAGTGGTGATTAGACGCAGGTGGAGGCTGGAGGCTTGTCTCGAGGACGGGGTGCTGAGTTCAGAGAAGAAGAAGAGTCTGTTTCAGCCATCGTTCGGTGCTTCAAATTTAAAATGAGAACGATTTAACACGAAAAGTGGAATCAGGACAGGGTCTCGCTCACCACCTGCAGCCTGAGGGACTCTGCTCCACAGATCCGACCACATTTAAACTCTTTGAAATCACTCGGCCGCTTAAAAACCAAGAACTTCCCTAAAACGATGAAGCTAGAAGTCTGAAAACGTTTCATGAAGAGGAACCTCCAAGTTCTGGATCAGAGGAACACGTGTGGTCCTAGATCCCTGATCCACCTGTTTTTAACAGGTCCTGATCAAATCGTCCCTCTGCCACTCCGTGCACTGACCTCATGCACATATCCCAGCATGCACTTGTGTGTGCCGAGCCACCAGCCTCATCCTGCAACGTAAAAGATTTTATTTCTTATCATTTTACTTTATTTGTTGCTGACTTCACTTTGAGGCCAAAAGGAATTAGTTTGGATTCATCTTTGGTTCTGATGCAGAAAAAGTGACAGAGTTTCACTTTGAGACAGAGTTTGGCTCAGTTCATGTGATCTCACGTCACATTTTAATGCACGTGTTTAGTTCACTCAAAGGATCTTGTTGGACCTGCATCTGCCCTCGGACTGGACGGAGAGCAGACCATAATAACTTCAACCCCTCAACATGTATAATTCATCTCAGAGCTGGAACGTGGCAGGTCTACTGAACCTGACTGTTGGATTGTGTACCTGGATTACTGAGCATGGACTTTGTTGAGCGCAGCTCTGATGTTTGTTTAAAGGGTTCAAATCGAGTTTTATTTCAAAAGAACCCACTGGTGGAACCAACTGAGATCACCCGTGGGTCTGATCTGGCCCCCGGGCCGCTAGTTGAATAACCATGGTATAGATGAATAGATTTGTTTTTTTTAAATTAATTTTTAAATGTTCGCTCCAAAGTCCACCTCAGACTCTACAGGTCTCAGTCAGCAGGTCAAAGGTCATGGTCTTGTCTCTCTTAAAACAACATGGCAGCACCACTTGAGATTGTAGTTTTATCTGGAGGAACCACACGACCACGACTTCTGGGTCAAAACAAGGCCAAAGAGGAGACGTTTACCCAGAATGCACTGCAGCAGACAGCTCCCCCCAGCTGTCGGCACGGTGGTGGAGGCTGATGGTTCGGGCTCCTGTCAGTCACTGAGTGAAACTGTCTGATGTGTTTTTACCGTGTATGAGAGCTTGGTTTTCATATTTCCTGAGGCTTTGCTCAGAAACGTCTCTGGTGGATCTGCTGCCGGCCGTTTCATGACGTCTTCTCCTCCTTCCGAACCGGAGACCTCAGACGGGACTCTCAGCCGTGGTTCTGAACCGGCCCCGTCAGTCTGGGAGTAAAAACCAAAAACACTTTGGCTCAGAGCCAGGAGCCGGTGCAAGTCACTGGACCCGGGTCCTCTGAGGAGCTCAGAGGAAGCAGCAGCTTCACGGTGGATCTTCTTCAGCTGTCGGGACCACAGGTGTTGGGGGGGGGGGGGGGGTCAGGCTCTCCGAGAACAGTCGGGCCTTTTTAATTTTCTGCTGCAGTCATCTGAAGAAATGTTGAATTGGACCAACGCAAACATCCATCAGCCTTTTTCCCTAAAGCCCAGAGGCAACTTGGGACCTACTTTCAAAATAATCTACATGACAGATCCAGACTTTTATTTTGAAGAGTATCTGTGAAACTCCAATCCTCTTCCTGTTTGAATGTTTGTGTTTTTCTGACTAAATCCTGAATCTTGCCGTTCTTTTGAGGAACAGGAGAAAGAAAAGCATGCTGGGTAACCCAGAAACTGCTGAGTCACTGGTTGCTATGGTGATTCCCACTTTTTTTAGGGGGGGGGGGCAACTTTAGCTTCTTTTTAGTCTGAAAACTTTAAACAAAAAGAGTAAAAGTTTGTTGAACTGTCACTGAAACCACGAGTCGGATCAAAATAATTCTCCAACCTTGAGCAGCAGAAGGTTCTGTTCACCAGACGTGATCATTTTTATGTTTCTGGGGGGTTCTGTGGAAAATACTCAAAGCATTCTTCACTTCCTGTTTTGAAGAGAAGCTTCGCTGCAGTTGAAGTAAATGAGATTTTGTTGATTTGGGGACAAACCACAAGTCCGACAGTAACGAGAGGCCAAGCACCAACAGCCTGATGTAAACTTTGGAAGGTTTGTTGAAATAAAGAGTTTGGTTGCAAAAGTTCTCAACAGTTGTGACATCATCCAACTTTAAGTTGAACGTTTTGTGGTAAAATCAGTAAAAACCATCAAAGCTCGCCTGCGACCGTTAAAACTGCTGAAGATAATGAAACAGTTCAGTCGTGAAAAGCCCAACTTTCTGTGACCCGTTTAAACTGAATGATGGTTCTGATGTGAAGTCTGCGCTGGAGGTCCGAACGGGACCCACCAAAAACTGAAAGGACAATCCTGCTATGACTTGGTATTGGTGCAACTTTAGCTTTTTGAAATATTTAGCCTTTTCTGCCATTTTGTTCTCATAGAAAATGAATTGAGCTCGTTTTACCCCCTCCAGATCTTCAGACGTGTTTACAACCTTTTACTGCTCATTTCACATTTTGTTCTGCTTCAGCTTCTTTCAGCTTCCTGCTGCACATTTAAACTTTTTTTCAGCTACTTTCTGCTGTTTTTTAGCTGTTTTGTGCGCCTTTCAAGTTCTTTCTGCTAACTACAACATTTTTGTGCTTCTTCAAATTTATTCTGCCGTTTTCAGCTTGTTCTGCTCCTTTCAGCGTTTTCATGCTAGTTTAAGTTATTTCAGCTACAATTTAGCCCTTTTTTTTCTGATTTCAGCCTTTTTCTGATCATTTGCACTTCTTGTGCTCATTTCTGCTTCTTTCAGTAAACATATGTTCTTTCTTCTGCTAATTTAAGCTTGTTCTAACTTTCAGCTACCTTTTTAGCATAATTTGGTAATTTCAGCTGTTTTCAAGCTTTTCATGTTAATTTCTGCTACTTGCAACCTAATTAACTTATTTCTGCTAATTTCAGCTTGTTATGCTCCTTTCAACTTTTTTTTGCATGTTTAGCTACTATTTAGCTCTTTTGATGCTAATTTGAGCTTTTTCAGCTAATTCCACTTTTTTTTTTTTTTTTTTAGCTCCTTTCACCTCCTTTTACTTCCTGCTGGTAGTTTAAGCTTCTTTCTGCCTTTTCAGCTTATTTTAGCTAATTTAAGCTTTTTTTTTTTTTGGTTAATTTCTGAATTTTTGTGCAGTTTCTGCTTATTTAAACCAAATTCAGCAAATATGTGTTCTTTCTGCTTCAACTAGTTTAAGCTCTTTCTTCCATTTCAGCTACACTTCAGCTGTTTTTCAGCAAGTTCTTCTGCAGTAAGCATTCAAACTGCATTTTGTCAGGAAATGTAATTTGTGTAATTTAATCCTCGCTGTCCTGTTACCAGACATGGCCCTGAACTCCCAGAACGTCGGGTCGGGTCTGCGTTGTACTGGAAGGCTTTCAGGGCCGACAGCAGAACCTCGCAGGGTCAGAGGAGAGTTGTTCTGTGTCCAGTTCCTGAAGGTTCTCGTTTTTCTTCTTCCAGCGTCAGAAAGGTTCTGTTTCCTGTGAAGGTCTCCTGCTCAGCTCTGCAGCTCCACATGCGAGGAAAACCCAAGAGCGTCACCGTGGAAACCAAGCCGGGCCAGACCGCCGCCGACTTCAAGAAGAGCCAGGACGGTTTTGTCCTGCTGGTCCCGCTCGCCAACTGATGCTGACCAGAACCGGGCCAGAACCGGGCCAGAACTCTGAGCTCAACAAAGAGTTAAAGGTTTTCTGCTCCCTGAGCGGCACCAAACAGAGACGGCAGAAAGTAGACTTTATTGTTTTATTTCTTCGTTTGTATTATACTAATTTAGATTTTTATAGATTCTAAAGATGACATTAATTTAATGATGAGGCACTTTAATGACAAATTCTGCTTCCTAAAATAAAGTGAAAGAAACAATCCAGATGTTCATTCAGGGGTCACATCCAGATGAAAACAAGAGTTTCAGCGTCGTGTCACTTCCTGTCTCGTCCTCGTGGCGTTCCTCTGCAGCCAATCAGCTGCCTGATGATCTCACAGCAGGAAGTCCTCAGCTGCCTGATGATCTCACAGCAGGAAGTCCTCAGCTGCCTGATGATCTCACAGCAGGAAGTCCTCAGCTGCCTGATGATCTCACAGCAGGAAGTCCTCAGCTGCCTGATGATCTCACAGCAGGAAGTCCTCAGCTGCCTGATGATCTCACAGCAGGAAGTCCTCAGCTGCCTGATGATCTCACAGCAGGAAGTCCTCAACCTTTGTTTGTTTATCTTCGGTTAGTTTTGGCTTCGGCAGCTTTGATGTTCAATCTTTTGGGACCTGATGTGTTTTTGTTGGAACAGATTATTCTGGAAACACGCGGCCCGAACATTTAAATACGTTTACAGCTCCGAGACGACGACGTCCATGACTGAATATTTCTTCAGAGCCCCGCCCCCTCACCTCAACACCTGCTCAGATTTGACTGGAAAATTAGTTTTTGTCTTCTTGTTGCAGATATTTTCTGTTCTGGGTTTTTTTTCTTCCCACAATTAGAAATTTTTAAGTTTTAGGCTTCTTTCTGATTATTTTAGTTTTTTTCAGCTTTTTCAGCTACTTTTCAGGTGGTTTCTTTCCAATTTCAAAATTTATGCTACTTTTCCACTGATATCAGCTTTTTCAGCTACTTTTCAGGTTATTTCAGCTTTTTCAGCTACTTTTCTGCTGATATCAGCTTTTTCAGCTACTTTTCAGGTTATTTCAGCTTTTTCAGCTACTTTTCTGCTGATATCAGCTTTTTCAGCTACTTTTCAGGTTATTTCAGCTTTTTCAGCTACTTTTCCACTGATATCAGCTTTTTCAGCTACTTTTCCACTGATATCAGCTTTTTCAGGTTATTTCAGCTTCATTTGCTTCTGTTTATTTCTGTTTCCAGTAAATGTCAGCTGATCAGATCCAACCAGCACCAGCAGTTCAGTGATGAAACCTTTCAACTGCCTTCAGCTTCTTCAGCATCTCTCAGCTGAAATCCTTCAGCTGTAAGCGTTCACGTGCATCCAGTTTATTCTGAGTTGTTGTTGGGCGTAAACAAGCGGAGCCAATCGTCTTCATTTGTAACGTTTGTAAAACTGAGCTGGACGGACTTCCAGCAGCTGAAGCTCGGCTGCTTTCGGAGTGGTTTCTGTCAGCGGCTCTGATCCAGATCAGGGTCTGAGTTAATCTGCAGCTCCTCCCAGTTCCACCAGTTTGCTGAAGCACGGGGCCATCTTCACGTTGTGTCTAACAGAGTGTGAGCCTTGAGTCCTGGCTGTGAACTGATCAGTCTGCTCTGATCGATCAGTTCTCCTGATCAGTTTGTGTTTTCCGCTCCATCGGGTCGAACAAAGATTTTCTGCGTTACATCAGAACGTGTCAGAATTCTTCGGCAGCCTTTCAGTCATCTCCTCCCGTCGTCATCTGCTCGAACGCGCCCGTCCCCGACACAAACAGGACTCCTCCACGTTTAGTTCATGCAGTCGCTTCACGTGCGAGCAGTCCCAAACGGCCCCCCCATGCAGAGATTAGCAGCCCCCGCAGCCAGGATTTGGTGACGAGTGGGGAGGATTTACCAGGATATACATCAGAGCTGCTGTGTTGGTTTTTGTCCCCAAATCCTCTAAGAACGGGGCCGGTCCGGTGAGCCCGGCAGGACTGCCAGCAGGTCACATGCTGTAGATTACAGGAGCACGAGGGCAGATCGGTTCTTCCCCGAGCCCACGTTGAACTGGCAGCATGTGGAAACACTCAGGGACACGCAAAATGCATTTATTAACGTGTTCAGGGAAATTTACTCAAAACGGATACGAAATTACATTTTCTGTAAAAACGCAGTGAGATCTGCTGAAACCAACAAGTTGTTAAACCTTAGAAAAAGCTAAACACAATGCAAAACGCCAAAAAACAGCTAAAAGTAGAAAAGTGTAGAAGCTAAAGTTGTAAAAAATTAGGCTAAAGGTGAGAAAATGATCGCTAAAAGCCAGAGATTGCAAAAAGTCACAGCTGTTCTGAGCGAAATACAAAATTCCTGCAGGAAGCTGCACCAGAAGCGCCACAGCTAGCAGGTTTTAGCTGTTAAAAACTAGCTGGTTGTTATTAGCATACTTGTGGCTTATCTTAAACTGCAGCATTAACTGAAGAGGGCTGGTTGAACTTGTAGTTTTACATGAAAGCAGTAAAGTTAGAGCGTAGCTTGAAAACGTGTGTTGAGCTGATCCCACGGCGTCAGCAACAGTTCGGTCGTAAAACCCCGAGGACCAATAAAAACGACAGAAAGCTGCTGAGACGCAGACACGTGGAAATCTGCTCGTTTGTGTCTCAGCAGAAGGAAGCTGGACGCCATCTGCAGAGATACCCCTGTCCTTTCTTATCAAAGGCCCCCCCACCTGACCCCGGTCCTGGATCTGACCCCGGCCCAGTCAATATGGTTTCTGCCCCGCTGCCCGTCTCCTCAGGGATTGTCAAACGATTATTAAAAGCCTTTAAATAATCAGTTTTTCGACGGAGAGAGCAGACACCACTTTAAATAAGCTGCTTGTCCAGTCTTGGTTTTATTTGGGGGGGGGGGGGGGGGACATCTGTTACACAAAAAAAGAAAAAACTGCTTTAGGGTTCTCCTCAGAACTCTTGATCCGGTCCACCTTTCTTCATGTCCAGTTTCACAGGAAACAATATGTCGGCTCCAACAGCGGCACTTTTAAGCTTTTTTCCATTAACGTGAAAATGTTCGGCTCATTCAGGAGCTAGCTGCTGCGACCTTCGGCTTGTGTAAATATTTTTCTTTTACAAATATTTTCTTCAAAGAAATCTCAGTTTCTTCAGAAACAGTCTTTCAATCTGCTTCAGCTACAAACTCCATTCTGCTGCTTTTAGTTTTTAGCTGCCTTTTAGCTACTTCAGCTTTTATTGTTTTATTTTTAGCTTTTAGTTATTTGATAAATTATTTGCTCATCCAAGCTTCTCGTTAGCATTTTGGCTTTTTGACTATGTAGTTCTGCTACTTTTAGCCTTCACCTGTTTTGCTGCCTTTAGCTAGCCTTTAGCTACAATGAGTTTTTACCTAGTTTCTGCTTTAGCTAACATTTTACCACTTATTTTAGATTTTTTTTTTTTACTCTTTTAGCCATTTGACTTTTAGCACAAGTTTAGCTCTTTTAGGGTTCATCAAGTTTTGCTTCATTTAGCTCTGAGCTAGACTTGTTCTTTTAGTTTTTCTGCTTCTTTTAGCTTTGACCAGTCAACTTCGGCTCTTTCAGCAAACTTTCAGCTGTTATTCAACGCTTAGAATCCCACAGAAAAAAAGTTTTATTTTTTATTAATCCACGGGTGTGAGTGAAATTAGACAAACGACTGATTTAAAGTTTTTTTTAGCTGCGCTACAGGAGGCCTTCTTCAGCTCCGTCTTCGGCTGTTGGATGTCCCACTGCCCGAAGGAGACAAACAGCAGCTTCTGGTTTCACCTCCACTTTATTAAACAATCCACAGATTAAACGCCACAAAAATAAACACAAACGTGAAAAATCTTCAGTTTTTCTTCAAGTTTTTCCATCGACAGACTTTTAGTTTCCAGACAGCCGAGCCGAGCGACACTCCGGGAGGCTCGATTTTGGCGGGACTGAGGACGGTTACCATGGAAACCCGGAGGCCGAACTCGTTCATCTCGTGTTTGTTCACCACAGACGAGACGTTGTCGCGTCAGAGGCGGAGCTACGAGCCGACGGACGCCACGTGAACAACGGGCGGCTTTGTGTGTCATGAGACACGTCTCAGCCGTCAGCGACTCGAGGACAAACGTTAATTTGGCAAAGAGACGACTAAAAATCAGAGTTTTACGTTTTAAATGTGTGAAGATTTTCTGTCCCCGTTAGTTTAAACATTTAAAAACATCAAAGGTGAGAGCTCATGTGCAGACAGAGACTCTTTAGGGAAAGTTCAGACATTTGAAAATCTGGCTATGAACAGTGAACATCTTACCTGTTGTAGATAGATGTTCGCACCAAAGTGCCACCTTAACTTTACTCTCAGGTTTGTAGCCAAAACAGCAGGGTGGGTCAAAGGTCACTCAGCATCAACACAGCATGTTCGCTACCACAACTGAAGGCGTGGTGACATTTATTCACACACGCATCACGTGCGCTCTCATCTCTGCCTCTTTGCTCACTGGAGTTGGCGCAACGTATGGCAAACTGTTTAAATAATCAAATCAAGCTAGGGCAAGCTGTTGAACTAAAAAATACCTCCCACTCCTCTCTCCCCCTTTAGATTTGAACAATGCATTTTCCTGCCAACAGTGACGCACACAGCTCAGCTTACCGTGCACATCAGTCTCACGTGCACTCTGCGGCACGTCAGTGACTCCGTGTGCAGCAGAGTGCACGTCTTTGTAGATTTATCGACTGCATTTGTGAAAAACAGTAAATTCTGGTCGTAGAATAAAACGAGTCACAAAACGTGAACTTTTGTTCAGTTTGTAAAATAACGTCTTCGTGCCGTGAAGTTGGCAACATTTATGTTTAAACTTCTCTTTCAAGTTTTACTTTTTTAATGGTTTTAGCATTTATACATCTGTAAACGTTTGTCTTGTAAACATGTATTTAAATCAAACCAGTCAAAACTTTATTAATACAGTAACAAAATGTGCCTTTCATAAATAAAAATAATAAAACGTCATAAATCTGTTAAAAACTCAACGGACAAATGCTCCTCTGGTAGTCGGACTAGCCGTTAGCTCGTCAGTCTAGTCCGAATGAAACTGGGAACTATCTGCAACAGGTAAGATACTAACTGCTCATAACATTTTCACATGACCCCACCTCAAAATGTCCAAACTGTCCCTTTAATGTCTTCAGTGAAGAGACGCTCAGTTTTACGTCCCCGAAGACAAAAAAAGGCAGAAAGTTTTGACAAAGAACAAAGTTCTGTTAGACGATCGCCCGTGAACTCGTATTTACATCGTCGCTCGAAGACGAGATCTCCTAACGAACCACAACTCACAGAGCTGCTGGTCCAAAACCACCTGCAGAAGCCCCGGACCGGGCCAGAACTGTTTCTGCCACGGAGGTCCAGTGATGTCCACAAGTCTCTACAGCTGAGGTTCTGATGTCAGTTAAACCATCCGAGGTCCGCTGTTAGCACAAAACCAGAACCAGAAGTCTTTAAACCCGAGGTCCGGTTCTGACCGTCCTCAGGAACCTTTGACCCAGTTGGAAAGCTGCAAACTGTTTGGTGCCAGTCAGGTTCAGGAGATCCGGGAGCTTTAATTGGATGAAGCAGAACTAGAGCTCCGGTTGATTGGCTTGTGTGGACCGACCGGACCGGACCGAACCAGACCACATTACATCACATCCAACAGGTTCAGTGGAACCACAGCGTCTTCCTCTTGAGTCGATGAGGAGCGTGTAGAGGAGGAGACGGCAGCTTCTGAGCTCTACGATGAGATTTACAGAACCAGAACCAGCCTGGTTCTGGTGATACCTGCAGGGCGTCAAGTCCAAACTGGACACAAGTGTCCTCAGAGCCGGACCGGGCCGCTCAGCTGACACTAAAACGTCTTCAGAGAAAAACTAAGGAGGACGTTCTGAGTCCAAATCTGACAGAACGGGCCTCAAGAACTGACCTCAGGACCTGGATCCCATCAGACCCGGTCCTCAGCTGCGCGGTTCTGTTCAATCAGCAGAACAGCTCTACGTCTGTTTGGGTCGGCTCGGACGTTCTGAGGCCTCGGTTCTGACAGATTCTCGAGTGGACAAGTCAGAAACGGGTCCGGTCTGAGAGAACGGTTTTCACCAGAACTTTAGGGATGAACTCACGGATCTCTGACCAGAACGTCCGGTTCTGTCAGGCTGCTCGTTACTCTGAAACTGGACTTTTTATCCAGAAATTTTCAGTCAGGTCATCTGGACAGTTTCTTTTTTTTTGTGCTGGAACGTTTCACCTTCCTTTGTTGGTTTTGAACCAGTTTGACACGACTGTCGACGAGGAAGAGGGCCGGCACCGGAGGAGGGGGCGTGCCAAAGACACCATCTTAGCATCAACATAACTGGTTTGTTCCACTTTGGAGTAAGCTGTTGGGGGAAGAATCAGTTTTGTGTTGTGTGTTTCCTTGACTGATGAAGCCTTCTGGATGGAAGGTGAAATGTTTCAGCACAAAAAAAAGAAACTGTCCAGATGACCTGACTGAAAAATGTTGGATTGTATACCTGGATTATTGAGCATGGACTTTGTTGGACTTTTTATTGTTTCTTAAAGTTCTGATAGTCGGCCCGATGTCTCGCAGCAGGACAGCAACTCTGTGCGACCCAAACACAGAGAAATTAAACCCACAAACGTCTCACTGAGGGTCCGGTTCCTCAGGACACAAGATCCGTGTGGATCGATACCGGGTTCGGTCTGATCCACCGTGTCAGAACCACCACTCATTTCTGTCATATGGTTTGAATATATTTTAAGACTAAAGAGACAGAATGGGTTCTCGCTTTTCATGCTAACGCCGTTTCTAAAGGAACGTTTCCAACAAGTTATTGGGGTTAGCGTGTTAGCAGGTGCTACGTATACAGCCTGCTGACAGATTGCTAACGAGGCTAATAAAGTCTTGCTAATGAGGCTAATAAAGTCTTGCTAACGAGGCTAATAAAGTATTGCTAACAAGGCTAATAGTCTTGCTAACGAGGCTAATAAAGTATTGCTAACGAGGATCATGACGTCTTAACAACGCTAATAATGTCTTGTTAACAAGGCTAATTATGTCTTGCTAACAAGGCTAATAATGTCTTGCTAACAAGGCTAATAATGTCTTGCTAACAAGGCTAATAAAGTCTTGCTAACAAGGCTAATTATGTCTTGTTAAAAAGGCTAATAATGTCTTGCTAACAAGGCTAATAATGCCTTGCTACCAAGGCTAATAAAGTCTTGCTAATGGGGCTAATAATGTCTTGCTAACAAGGCTAATAATGTCTTGCTAACAAGGCTAATAATGTCCTGCTAACAAGGGTAATTATGTCTTGCTAACAAGGCTAATAAAGTCTTGCTAACAAGGCT